TCATGCTTCTTTGTCCCACCTCACGTCCACGTCTCCCTGCTGTCAAACTTGCTTCTGGGGAGGTTAAGGTCATGTCCTAACTCGCTGAGCAAGACCGGTCCCTTTTCTCGACATTACGTGTTGAATTGTCCACATACTGACTGAATTCCAGTGAATTGCGACATAGGCGTGTGGAGGCTTAGATACTAGTGGCCTCCTTCAGACCCATGGGTCATGCAGTGCAAGCCCCGGCCATGGCTGCCAAGAGTTCGCTAGCGAGCCACACTCTGCTTTCCTCGCTCGCAACTCCCTGCGGTCAGCAGCCCAAGTCACGAAGTGTACGACAGTCGACGCCCACTGCGCCAGCACCGTCAGAGACCCGATGTAGTCCGAAATTAACGACGCCGTTTCTTCCCGCGAAGCCCTCTCTTCTTCGCCAGTCGCACGTGCGACATTCCACCGCAGTCCACGCCTGTCGACCGCTGCTCGTGCCGCCATCGTGCAGCGGACAGGCCTTCCATACTTCCACTGCGTCATCTAGACCGTCCGTCCCTAGCCACGCCTCGAGCCAGGCGGTCAGCGACTCTTTAGACATCGACGATGCTCCGCGCGAGGAGTCGCAGCAGGGCGCCGCTCATCCCGGCAGGGAATTGTTGCTCGGGAAGCGGTCGCGCTCTCGGTCGCACGTGGCGAGAGCTCTGCCGATCTCGATACACGATGTGGAAGGGCCACTCCGCGACATGCTGTTCGCGACGATCGGCGCCGCGACGGCTCTCATGGCGTCGGGGTGCATCGCGTGGCTGTCGAAGCGAAAAGAGTCCAAGGTACGTGGCTTGCCGATTCTAAGGGGGGCCTAATTGCCCCCACGCAATCGAAGCGAGCCATGCCATGCCAGCTATTCCATACCATCCTCCTTCAGCGCCGAGTTCTCCTGCGTGCAAAATTCGTTGAGTTGTCGACGATTGATTGGTTCTCGAATCCACCATATACTCCCTTGCGCCCTTTCCGAATCCCCGCAGGTGCTCGCGGAAGCCAAGGAGCGGGGGCCCGCTGCGTTGCCCGAGGTCCCGCCGGCGGCGGATCCGAACAGCACAATGGGCGGCGCGATGGGCGGCGCGGAGGTGGGCGTGGGCGGCGGCAAGGAGTCAGTGGAGTGGGTAAACATGGTGCTGCATAAGATGTGGAAGGTGTATCGCCGTTCCATCGAGGCATGGCTTGTTGGGCTGCTACAGCCGGCGATTGATACGCTCCCGCTGCCCGCCGTCGTCACGCGCGTCGAGATCGCCGAGTTCAGCTTGGATTACGAGCCGCTCGCCGTCCGCAACGTGCAGCGCCGCGCCAGCCGACGCGCCAACGACCTTCAGTAAGTTTGCCTCCTTGCTCTTGCCCGTGCCCGTGCCCATACCCGTCCCATGCCCGTGCCCATACCCGTCCCCATGCCCGTGTCCATACCCGTCCCCATGCCCGTGCCCATACCCGTCCCCATGCCCGTGCCAATTCCCGCAATTCAGCCTGCGTCCGTGTCAGTAACGTTCCTCTTCTCCTCCCCTTGCCTCACCTACCCCGTCCACCCGCCCTCACCCCGCCCACCCCACGCCACCCCTCCAGGTACCACGTGGCGCTGCGCTACACGGGCGACGCGCGGTGTCTGCTGCTGCTGCACCTGCGCGTGGCGGGGGTGGACTTCGCGGTGCCGGTGGGCGTGCACGACCTGGACGTGGACGCGGAGCTCTGGGTGAAGCTGCGCCTCACGCCGCGCAAGCCGTACGTCGGCACGCTCTCCATCGCCTTCGTGCGCCTGCCCACCATCAAGCTCGTCCTCGCGCCCTTCCGCATCGTCAATCTCTTCGGTGAGTGCGCTGCGCGCCGAGCCCCCGTCTCTGGTTGCTTCAGGACCGACGTATCTTTCAACGTCCGTGCTGTCTCTGCTTGCCCTTTCTTCTCACACCCCTGACCTGCTGCGTTTTCTCTGTTGCTTGATCATGCGAGAGCTGCTTCCTCAACTCACCTACGTTTTCTTCCCGTCTCCTCTCCTTTCTCCCTTTCCTTGGTATTTCCGCGCGGGTCCGTCGCTCCCCGCGTCTCACGGTCTTGGGATTGCCGTCGTTCAACGCCGTGAGCAGCCATTCCGTTCCTCTCCAGGTTAGCCCATCGTTCTGACGTTCGCTCCTTGTAACCCGCTTTCCCCCAACCACGCTTCCCCCCCCCCTCCCCTCCTCCCCCCGCCATCTTCTTGTTTTCTGCATTGGCAATTGCTAGCTTGAGTGACACCTTGTGCCCTTCCCATGTCCCACCCTCCCACCACACTCCCACCACACTCCCACCACACTCCCACCACACTCCCACCACACTCCCACCACACTCCCACCACACTCCCACCACACTCCCACCACACTTCCACCACACTCCCACCACACTCCCACCACACGCACACCACTCACCACACTCACACCGCCTCCTGTCCATCCCACTCCCCTCCGCCCCCATTTCTATCAGCTTCCTCTCCAAGCTACTCACAGTCGACCTGCCACGTCTGCTCGTGCTGCCACGTCATATCACCTTCGACTTCCTCCCGGCTGGGGAGGACCCCCAGCAGCACATGGCAGCAGCAGCGTCCGCGATGGTACTGGATCTGCTTAAATCGGAGACGTTCACGGGGCTGGCGGGGCAGCGGCCGTCGTCAGCGGCGTCAGGGCTCGTGCCAACGCGCATGGAGCCCAGCGACTCGTTCGTGGGGGAGCTTTCTGTCACCCTCTGCGAAGCGCGCAATCTGCCATCTTACGGCTTATCAGGTGGGTGCCATGCCGTCTTAAGGCTTATCAGGCGGGCGCTGGGCCAGCACTTGGCCTCAACTCTCGTGCCCCGCATTCCCATTGCAACAACTCTATTTGATCTGTGTCCTGTGTCTGGGCGTGTACATGCGTGCAGTGTGGAGCAATCCGTACTGTCGGTTGATGGTGGGCGATGTGATGGTGGAGAGCAAGCGCAACAGCGAGACGTCTCACCCGTCGGGGGCGAGGGACCCGGTGTGGAATCAGGACTTCCACTTCTGGGTGGAGGACCCCGTGGGGCAGAAGCTCACCGTCATGCTAAGGGACTCCATGGCGCTCAACCGCAACATTGGCTTCGTTGAGGTGCGTTGTGCTGCACTGTGTTGTGCATGTGGGGCAGAAGCTCACCGTCATGCTCAGAGACTCCATGGCGCTCAACCGCAACATTGGCTTTGTCGAGGTGCGTTGCGCTGTGGGGCGCCGATTGGGATTGTCTTGGTTGAGCTGTGATGCTATTGTTATTTGTGCCGTTTCCTGGTGCCGTCTTGCTTTGCTCTTTTTCGCCAGTCTACCATCCCACATGACGCCATCGTGCCATGACACGCTGTTGCCTTTGCTGATGCACGACCACCCCACTTCACCCCCCTTCGCCCCACACAACACCAGGTGCCCATCTGGCAATTGCAGGACTGTGTACCGCTCTCCATGTGGTTACCACTGTTACAAGATGGCCCCTTTGGCGTCAAACCAGCAGCTCAGGGCGAGATCCGCATTCTCCTCACCTACAAGTCATATGTGGACCGGGACGAATCCTCCACGTTTAGTAACACTGGTGGTAACGCGGTAACAACCGCCATTCCGGCGCCCACCGCCCCTATCGCTTACATTAAAGTGTTTGGAGAGAGTGACTCGGACAGTGATAAGGGGACGGCAGCGGAGGGGGAGGTGGATGAGGAGGCAATGCGGGCACTGCAGCAGGAGCGAGAGCAGAAGGGACTGGATAAGATGGTGGAGGAAAGTATCACTGAGGTGGTGGCGAGTAATGAGGCGGAAGTCAGGGCAGAGGAGGGGGGCGAGGGGAGCAGTGCAGGGAGCGGTGAGGGGAAAGTGGAGGAGAGGAAACCATCGCTGGTTAGTGTGGCAGGAGTGGTGGGGTCAGGGGCGGTGGCAGCTGTGGGTGGGGTGCTGAACGGCGCAAAGGGGTTGGCGGTTGGCGCGGCAGGGGCAGTGGGAGGAGCAGTAGGGGCAGCAGGAGGGGCCGTGGCTGGAGCAGCAGGGTGGATGTTTGAGAGTGTGAGGGGAGTGCTAAGGAACAGGACTAGTGATGAGGTTTATGCTGATCGGGCAGGAGAGGATGAGGAAGGGAAGAATGCTGTTCATGACATGTCTGCAGCTGCTAGGGACGGAACAGGCTCGGATGTCGAACCTCAGATTCGCATCCGAGCCTTCCCTGTGAGTGACTGGTCGCCGCCAAAGCAGCAGGGCAAGGCTGAGCAACGCGCGACATACGAGGCGGGTGAGTGGGATGAGGTTCGGCAGGAGCAGAGCGAGGCTCGGTTGACGGAGTGGGATATAGAGAACACAGCAGAGCGGCTGTGGCGGCTGGAGGAGAGGCGGAGGAGGAGGGAGCTGAGAGCACAGCGGGCAAACACTGATGCTGATGGTGCTGAGACGGGTGGGAAGGTCAACGGCAAGCCGAATGGGAGGGTGGTGAACGGCGAGGCAGCAGAGGGAGCGGAGGAGAGGGGCAGGTCTGATGCGTTCGGGTCAATGAACGGCGCCATTAGCGATTTCTTTGACTCCATGAACCGCCAATGATGCAAGTGTGGTTTTATACCGTCCTCTGGCCCATGTGTGACTGAACGATGTTGGGCAGGGGTGGGGTGTCCAGTAGGAATATTTTTGACACTTGCGTTTAGGCAGGGTGACTTGGTTAGGTCACAAGGGTGGTGTGGCTGTGAGTCACAGCATGGCCGGGTGCAGCTGTTGAGGACCACACATGCCCAGCCTGCCCACTTGCTTTAGTCCGCCTGGCATAAATTGTTTTGTCTGTTCTCGATGCATCTGGTGTGGATTGCACAGAAGGTACACAGCTGCCAAACATCAGTCTATTATTGTGAGTTGTCATGATCCAGCCACATATAAAGGATAGACAAAACTTGAACTGTGGTATTTCAACCATCTGAGAAAATGACTGCCAGATACGGTACTATAAGCTCCTATCCACATTCCTAACAGCTGCACACATCATCAATGCTCCAAATTAAAGACATACTCAGTGAGACGCTTCACCTGAGCTAATTGCCTCTGCTCCTCCTCAAGTTCCTTGTCCTTCCCTGCTTGGACCACTGGTGGTGTAAACATGTCTGTTGCAGAATCATATTTCCAGTCCCTGGCCTCCACTGCTCACACTCACCGAGGAACAACGCTTGCATGAGGGGGATGAATTGCACTAGGTTGCAGAAAAAAAAGCATTAATGTGTTGCGAGCAGGACAATAATGTGTGTGAAAGGAAAAAAATCAATGTGCCTTGCAAATAAAGAGGAAACAGTGTAAAAAACAAACATGTGCTAGAATTGAGACTCAAGAGACAAAGGAAAATAGAGCTGACAAAGAGTGGAGAGGCAAATGGTAAATGCAAGGGCAAATGGGGCTGAAGGGGAGAGTGCTCACGGAATGCAAGGGCTTCTTGAGAGGTGAGACCGAGAAAGGTGGCAGCATGTGAGGGTGAGATGGTGGAAAAAGAGCGAGCAACAAGTTCCATCATGGTGTGTGTGTATCTGTCTGCAATGGGGGGAAACGGGAACAGGAATGACGGTAATACAACATGACATGATTCGGTGGCACCCACGTGGGGGAGATTGAACACAAATGGCACAACGTGCTATTCAATCTACTTCCAGCCAAAAACACAAAAAAACACATCGGGTTCACTCTCAGATGGGAACAGCCAGGTGGAGGACTGACTCTGACAGATGCAATTTTGAAGGTGGTTGCAAGTACCTGTGAGAGCAGCGACCATGGGTCGCACAATAGGCGACCAGTGAAACGCTTTCAAGGCATCGTAAACGTCTTGGCTGTCTCGCTTCCACATAGCTTGTCCCACTCTCCACGTGGCTGCCAGCTCAGCATTGCCGTCTTTCACTGACGCAGGTATCCGCTTCCATAAGAACCGCGCCTCATTTCTTTAAAGATACAGAACATATGGAAAGAGGGTGGAGAGAACAATCAGGAAGAGAAGGCGAAGCTTGGGTTGCATCAAACGGAGTGAGGACCGGCAACCACCAGTCGTGAGGTATTGCACACTTAGAGACACTACAGAAAACCAGGGACCACACAGCGGCTTCCAGATTCAACTCAAGTTACTGAGGATCGCTTACAAATCTCCATCATGAAGCAAGCCCAGCAGATGCAGCGACTGGATCGTTGCGGGTAGAGCCGGAGATCCCGATGCTGCAGCCTGCACCATGAAGGAGAAAATCAGAAACGAACACTTCACGCGCTGGGCTGGTGAAAGGAGCGGACTGGAATCCGTATCATTACAGGTTCGAACCAGGTTAATACGCGACGCTCTGTTAGGCGGAATTCGTCATGGATGGCTGGGACAGATCATGGTTTAGGCCATTGTCAGACGGCGTCAAGAGGGTCAGGCTGAAACCTACGATACATGACCTGTCCAAGGAAGAGAAGAGTAGAACACGCACACACCTCGAGCTCAAGCTGACCACAGATTTCGGCTATCCTAGCGAAGTCCTTCGCGGCAACAGCAGCCTGCACAGATTCCTGGGTGACGGGGCTCACCGCTTCCACCGCCATCGCAGAAATCTCGATCAAGTACAGAAATGGAAAAAAACACGGACGGAAACAACGTGGATAATATATTAAATGCCTGCAACATGCAACGTGGTTTCGTGGTGTAGTTGGTTATCACGTCAGTCTAACACACTGAAGGTCTCCGGTTCAAGTCCGGGCGAAACCATTTCGCGCTCAACGATAATTGAGGCCTGGTTCCTAGATTCCTCTCTTGTTTTTCCCCGCAAGAGGATTTACAGGTGCCTTGATAGCTAAATCTTTGATCAGCAAAAGGGACTTCAACTTTATTGAACAAAGGAAGTATGTACGCTTTACAGAATACCATTCAGAACACGCTGGTAGTAGTCATACTGCCGGGTACTCCAGGCATCAACACTCTTGCTGATGAACGACAGGATGAGCGAGACACATTGCTGCAGAACATGGACAAAAAGGGTTAGTTTCTGAGCTTGCATTGCAATGAGAACAATCAACAGTCTTACCTCCTCTGTTAGTGTAAGGTGGAACCGCCTCCTCAAGTTATGTAGCACTCGGTGCTTTGCCTTGAAGCAGGGACACCGTGTTTGCTGAAAACATCACAATTACATGTCAGTGGGAATTGTGGAGAACCGACTGTATACCACGCTTCAAGTAAAAGTCATCACACACCTGCATCATCTCAACCAGCAACAAGATGCGCTCTGCATGTTTGCGGCATGTAAGGAAACCTTGTATGCAAAGAACCTGCAACAGTAGACACAGAACTGATTGGGGGGGTAAATGAGAATGATATCTGCACACAGGGAACATGCGTGCAGAGCAGGACAGAGAATAAGTGAATTACAAGGACAGCTCACTTTGAAATAATCAAATGCCTCGCTTGGGGAACCGTCTGCATCAGAATCCATAACCTGAACAGTCCACAAAGCAGATGGCTACAGGTCAAGGGATCATCAAGCAGATGACATGCCTTGAACTCCTCACAACTTCTTGAGAGAATTGACGCTGAGAAAACATCGGCAGAACCTATAACTAATTACCCACCTCAACCATTTCACGGGTGAGCTTGAAGGGTGCAGTTTCGAAGTTGACAGAGCCAGGTGAGTTGGAGAGCATGTAGCCATAGTCAATGTGGATAATGTGGCCCTGGTCATCCAGAAGGATGTTGCCATTGTGCCGATCCTTCAGCTGCACCACGAAAGTACCAAGCAGTACTCAGACAATGAGTCATTCAATTCAGAAGAAGGTGAAAGTAGTAAGGGACCTCACCTGAAGGAGGTAGCAGACAACGGAGTAGGCTGCCATGCTCTCTACAAAGTTCTGTTGAGCAACGTGAAATTCAGGAGTCCCATGCTTGAATTTCTCGCAAAAATACTGCCGCAAGCTCTTGATGTGGGGATTGCGGCTCTTGAGGGCGTGCAATGAGATCTGCACAGAGGAATCAACATGAGGAAAAGATTCTCCATAGAGCCATGCTTTCATTTAGGACATAACGACTCTCCATAAGGACATGACGTCACTCACAGCATCAGTTATGGTCTCAATGAGAGCAGTGCTTCCTGAAGTGACCAGGATCTCATATGGTCTTAGCCACAGTGGCAGCCCTGATTCTTGAAAGATGTCTGCAGGATAGGGCATGGCAACGTCGTTACACATGCTTAATTGTGGACAAGCAGAAGCAAGGAACGCTCAGGTCTGCCACAAAGCCTTGCTCACCAGATAGGTGCGAGACAAGCTGCAAGGCAAAATGCTCCTGCCTGCAATCGTCGCCACTCTTGACAATTACTGACCGCAGGTCCCAGTCTGGCGATGTGCCGAACTTGGACGACTGCCGTATTCTTGCCTTGCGACTCTCCCAACTCTCATCCACTCGTTGTCTCTCCAGAAGTTCCTGCATCCCCCTCAGGGTAAAAAGGGATTTCGTGATGAGTTTTAAAGAACACAGTAGAGGTACCTGATTGGTTGCAGAATCTGAAGCTCAGCAGCACAGACCTGAGCGGGGCCGACTCCTGACGAAGGACTGGTGACAGGCATGCCTGGAGGAGGCCCTTCGCCTTGATGGGTGACTGCCTGCCATAGGCAATGGAAGTGAAAGGCATGAGCACCTAAACGATGCTGATTGTTCCAGAGACAATCTTAAGTTTTACAGGCTAGCTGATATTATAGAACGTAAGGTGCAGGGGGGGCAGGAGGCACGTACTCGGACATGCGCGATGGCAAGGCTGCTGGGCACTCTGGCTCGACCACGGGAGAGGCTGACAGCATCCAGGCCTGTGAGGTCATCAAGAGTCACCCCTGGCACCGCCACCAGCCTCACACTCACGTACTCCTCCCACTCTGCCTGCTCTGCATCGCCCCCCTTTTCTGTATCCGTGTTGGATGCCACAGAAGGGACGCTTGGACTCAGGTTGGGCTTGCTGCGTGCACCAGCCAGTGCTGCTCCAGCTGCTACTGCCTGCTGCACTTGACTCAGAATGTCTGTCCTGACACCAGCAGCAGGCGCAGTAGCAGTGGCATCAGCAGTAGCAGTAGCAGTAGCAGTAGCAGCCGCAGCGACAGCAGCAGCAGCAGCAGCAGCAGGAGCAGGTGGGCGTTTGCAGACTTCAAGGCTGAGCTGCACAAGGCGCATGCGGGAGTACATGCTGGCCATGGCTCGGTCCAGAGCCACGTCTGACAAGGTGCGTGAGAGACCCAGGGGGGCATCCTGTGCGTGTTGAGAGGCGGGGCGCGCGTGGCTCCACATGTGCAGCGCCCAGGGGGGAGGGCGCATGGGCAGGGGCTGGCTGGCCGCTAGAGGGATGCCTGTCTTGGCCGGCGCCATGCCCTCAGGTGCCGTGCCGGCCTTGCGTGCACTGTGGGTGAATGACGAGAATGAGCAAACAAAAGACCGAAAACGAGTGAGAAGTCAAGAAGGGAGGATGTGCAGTCAGGTGACAAGGAGATAATGAGTAGCTTGAATGGCAGTGGTGAGGAACGGAAGGAACTGACCTCAAGGGGAGGCAGTTGAGGACTTCGAGCAGCAGCATGAAGGGCACTCTGTCCCGCGAGCTCATGAGCACAGCCTCGTCCTCCAGCAGCCTCACCACTCTGTAGCACCCCTTGCCCATGGGGAAGAACACTCCTGCGGCACACAGCACGCCGAGAATGAGACACCTCCCCCACGCTCTAGCTAGTACCGTGTTGCAGACAGCTTGCTTTAGACGAGCATCATGCATACTGACCCTCGTTTGCTGGCATGCCCGCAAGATGCGCGTTCAGCTCTGCAAGGGACTGCGGAATGAACACAGTCAGTGCAAAGGGCATTATTGACTAACATGCTGCAGGACGAAGATGGTCCAATGCGGTGCGGCCGTGCTCACCTCCCCGAGAGCCGTTTGCCTGTCCTCGTTGGGAAAGACATCCACGAGCCCAAAGGAAATGTCTCCAAGGGCCTTTACAAAGTCCAGTGTCGCCAGAACAGTGCTCTTCCTGATGCTGAATGATGGGTGCTTCGGGAGCTTCGGCGCACCATACAGGCCCTCCAGTGAATCCTGCACATCATTGGAAAGCGTCTGAGTCCAAGCTAAGGACGAGCAGTTCAACGACATGGTAATGATGACAGCTCACGTCAGTCTGAGGGGAAGCGGAAGCTCCAATATCAATGATGGAAACGCCCTCTGTTGCTCCACGCCCCTGCGGTGTCCCTGCACTGCTTGGACTACTCTTAACTCCTCCTTTGAGTGCGGAAAAGAGGCCCTCTGCTCGCAGAGACCAGGGGCTTGAAGTCGTTGCAGGCTGCTTGTGGCACGAGGGAGAAGGGCATGCCTTTTCCGTCACAATTCCTGCATTCAGGAGACTGGCGTCATCAACCCCAGCAGAAGTCAAAGGCACTGCATCTGGGTCAGCATCTTTGCAAGATTCCAGAGGAAGGACTGTTTCTGCTGAAGTTGCAGGCGGTTCTGCATCAGTTTCCTTTTCTTCCCGTGTGTCAGGCTGACAATTCGCAGCTACACTCTCGCTGGCCAGTTTGTTGCATGTGGACGGTGCATGTTCTGAAGACCAACCCCCACTGAAGCTTCTCAGTGAGCCCATCCTGCTTGCAAACTGGTCTGCAAAACTTGGCGGAACCTCCTCAGCACCCTCTCCAGTTATATCTTTGGCCTTAGTCGCTGCAAAGAAGGTTGGTGTGCTGAAGAGACTGCGGAGCGCACTTTGCTTTTGGGGCAGCGGGGCATCAACAACCGGGACATGATTTCCTTTGGGGGACATTGTGGCAGCAGCATTCAGGCTGAAAAACGACGGCTCCTTGGACTCCTCCTCTGGCCTGTCTTTGAAAAGCCTCCGCATGAATCCAGGGGATGGCTTAGGGGTAAGCTTGCTGTCCTGCTCATGGATCGACTCCACAGCTGGAGAGGCATCTCTCCTCAGTGAATCTGACAGTTGAGCCGGTGAAGCCAGGAAGCTTGCCATGCTGCTACAGGGAACCTGTATGTCATGGAAATGCTCATGCTCTGGGCTTGCCATATGCTCAAAGCTCACATCAGTTGGACTGGTCCCCAAGTCCGACCCTGCTCCGATGGACGCACTTCCCACCTTTGAGGGAGCCTTTCGTCGCAGTGGATTCTTGGGAACCATGCTGACTGCTTGGCTCGCCGCCTCCCCCACCAGCAACCTTGCCCCTGTTGCTGCACCAGCGACTGTGGCAGCCACTCCAGAAGCAGCACCAGCTGCAGAGGCAACCACGCCTGACGCTGCGCCAGCAGCAGTGACAACAACACCAGAAGTAGCAGTGGCAGCGGTAGCAACAACACCAGCCGCACCAGCAGCAGTGGCGACGACACCAGATGCAGCATCTGCAGCTGTAGCAACGAGTGCTTTGAGCACTGTGGTGCTTGATGAGGCCATGGAATCTGCTTGATGCTGCTGCATTTCCTTTCGTTGCCCCCCCTCCATCTGCTCCTCACAACCATCACATCCTGCTGCATCTGTTGATCCAAGCTGTAGCCGCTCCTTTGTTGAACCAGCGGGTTCTGACTTGTCATGCAAAATGCGACTTAAAAGCCCCACGTGCTCATTCCCGGTGTTTTCTTTTGACTGAAACTCATTTTTGTGCGCATCTCCTCCAATCAGAGTCACTGCCTCCTTGCTCATGCCACCAGGTCTCTTCCACAACATCCACTTGAGCAAGCTGTTTTCGCTGTCCGCTGCCACTGCAGCTCCACCCTCATCCTGCGGAGCCTGCTCTGTTGGCTTGTCGGATGGATCAGGCCTTTCAGGTGAGTCAGCACCCGTCAATCTCTGCAGAAGACCTTTTTGAGCATTTGAATCAAGAGGCTCATCGGTTCCATCTCTAAAAAGCTCATTATCTTTTCCTCCAGCAAATGCCGCACTTGTATCAATTACAGCAGAGTCTCCTGCTCCGACAGATGAAAAACCATTTTCTGCGGCATCAGATGATTCTGCTGCAGAAGCTGTCGGCAAGCTTCCATCCAGTGAGCTCGGTCCAGCTTTTTCAGAAGACTCCCCAAATAACCGCTGAAAGAAAGTGTCATTCCTATCAGAAAGTCGAAGAGTTTCCACCCCATTGCCATCCACTGAAAAGAGCCGCCTCATGACACCAGTGCTTCTTGCTTCGCCTCCGGAACTGCGTCTTCCTTGGTTCAATGATGGACTGCAAACTCCTCCACTCACTCCTTCCTCTGCAAGCGTTTCATCTGCTTCTGTCACTGCTCCAAGTTCGCCCACAATGGTTGACGCTGCTTCCCTTCTTCCACCCAAAAAGCTCCAGCCAGTGATGTTCTCTGGACGGGTCTGGTTTGTATCAGTAGCAGGCGAGCTGAGCCTCCTTTCACGGAGGAAGCGCCAAAATGTTGACTCATGCGTAGCAACGCCATCACTCGGTTCAGACTTCAGATTCGTTTCTGAGCTTGGCTCATCTTCAAGAGACGGAACGGATTCAACGCTCTTGGGAGGTGGGAGCTCGCCGGATCCCTTTTGCAAAACTTCTCTTCCCCAAACATAGCTCGGTGCAGATGCTAAAATGGTGTGCTTGCCATCAGCAGCGGGGCTGGAGCTGGAGGAGGCAGAAGGCAGGGGAAGCAGACGCCTTGAGGCTGATGACATGAGTTGAAACACGTTCTGGCGACCGAAAAACGAAACCCGTGGTGGTCTGGGACATCTTAGGCTAGGAACCGAACTCTGCACGGCAGCCTCGTAGAATTTGGCTTGAATGGTGGCAACGGATAGGTCGTTGGGTCGATCAGTGAGCTCAGCTGACAAAAACCAGTATACCTGAACACAGAAACAACAAAACTTAAGTTATTTCTAACAGACAAGTAAAATGCAGCTGTTCTACTGGATTCCTTACCCGCAGGAATGAGTGCAGCGACTGGGAACAGACATCAGTGGTATACTTTTCGAGAGATGGACTTGGTTTGTGGACAGCGAGGTAGCAAATCTGAAATAGGTAGTCCTGAACTCCTTCCAACGGTAACGAGTACATTCTGTCGCACAAATAGTCTCGCACGCCACCGTTCTGATGCCTGAAACAGCAACGACACGGTCGTTAGAATTCGTCTTCTTTCGTCCTTGCAACGGAGAACTTCGTGTCCATTCCTACTTGAAAAGGTACGTGACGGCAATCCACTCGCAGAAAAAGGCGGAGTCAAAGAAGCGCTTCAGCCAACCGCCATCAGAACGGAAGGTAAGCGAGCTGGGCTCTTCTTCTCCTTCTTCAAGTTCCTCGGAATCTGCAGAAGAGTCAGTATCACTGTCCGCCATCGCGATGACTGGAAAATAGAAATTAGCGTAACGGGTTCACTAAAGAATTAGAAGCTGCCTGACTGACAGAACCTGCGGTGCGACCTACTTGCTAAATACAGCATACTGTGCAAATGCAAGCTTTTCTTGAACCGTAGTTGTGCTCTGCCGAGCAACGGTCATCACGGTGTCGCTTGTTTCGGAGATGCTCCAATGGCTGATGGAAAGATTCGCCGTTCCGCAGGTTCTCTGACATGCCTGATAAGTACCATAAATGAGATAACTACATATGCGTCTTCATAGTTAGCTGATCCATGCTACACAGATCATTTCTACAGGTTGTGATGTTGAAGGTAAAGACAGTTAATTGCTTAGCTATTTTTAAGCAGAAGCACGCAAGTAAATAGCTTAAACACTGAACATGAATAGTGAGGGTCATAACGTTTTTCTTACTGAAATGGTTGCGCTGCTTTATCTACAACATTTACAATTGAATTGTTCCCAACACCAACCGTCCATGGCTTTGCTTCACAACATTAGCTCCTATTGGATACAATGGCGAGAATGTTGGTGAGGCGCTGTGCAACGTCCCGCATATTTGGTCTTAGAGCTCCAGGCCGCTTCAGGCAATCCATGGCGAGACCGATAAACATGGTGATGGCATCACGTGGGGCTTTGAGTCCCTCCATCACCACTTCGGAGATCTTGCCCTCCATCACAAACTTGTTTGCCTGCACATGTGATCGAGGATGGAGAGTAAGTAAAGTCAGCCGAGAGAGGAGCTTGCAAGAGACTCCGCACTTTCTGGAATGGTGTCAGGCTGGAAGGACAATAGTACCATACCCAGATGGATATATGTGGGTTGCTGAAGGCGGTGTCACTCCCGTTTAGCACTGCCCGCTTCCCCGACACCATTTCGAGCAGCACAACACCAAAACTGTACACATTTAGAAAGCTTGCTTTCTTGCATGTAGCAATTGGCATCGTCTCATTTCAAATGGGTTTAGTACAATTGAAATCCAAGCAGCGTCATTACAATAATATGCCTCTATGTTATCAACGCTATCCTGCTTTCGAGGGGGGGTGGGTGGGAAGATCGGCTAAACCGTCTGAAATGAGAGACGTGGGTGGAGGGAAATGACCTCCAGCCCACGTTTTGTACTCCAAAACGGGCGTTTAGCGCGGCTCGACGCTGCCAAATCCTACATTACAGGCAGCTTCGCTTTCAAAATACATAATTTTAAAAAGCGTTACAGCTTTTGAAAATATACATATTTAGAAAGCTTGCTTTCTTGCATGTAGCAATTGGCATCGTCTCATTTCAAATGGGTCTTCTGAGACATGTGTCGTGCTGGTTGGCGATGGCGTGTCAACGCCGCTGAGTGTTGCAACGGTGACGAGGCTCGCGTCGGATCTTGGACATGTCGAGATGCTCCGACCAACTGTTCTATTGCCGGAGTGATGTACATTTCTTTAG